TTACAATCATATTTCAGCTGTGCACTATTTTATTTTCACCATAACTACTTTTGTTTAGAGACTTGCAGTTTTCTATTTGGCTTATCTGAGGTGCCCATGTTAATGAATCAGTGTCATAACATCAAATATTAATCTAATTAAAATGATTTTTTGTCTGTTTGTTCTTTTTTTTTTTTTACAGAATGAAAGCTTACTCTCTGCCGCCTATCTACAGATTCTCCAAGCAAAGTGGAAATGTAAGATTTTCATGCATGTTTTACATAATTTATTGAGTTAATATTTTACAGAAAAATTAGAATTTCAGCTTGCTAAGAAAACTGTGCTCTACTTGCAAAGTAGTTAAAGGAGGTGTTTGGTTTTCTGCACAATGTTGTTGCTTTAATTAAATATGTCACGAAAACACATTGTTTTTCTCATGCTGTACTTGCCTGCAGCACCTCTTCTCACCCTCCGTCATCTAAAATACTCATTTTAACTCCTTTCTGAATTAATCTCAGTGAACTCTTGTCTAAGCCGGGAGGTTTAGATAAACAGTTGCGGCAAAAGGTGAACGACAACCGCCTTTAACGTAATGAGGAGACGTCGCCCGATATTTTCCTTATTGCATGTGTCTCTGTTGTTGGTCTCATTTTCTGAATTTGCCTTCTCAGAACAAGTCCTCGGTTCGGTGCAGCGACAGTGGAGACGGAGAGTCCAAGGCCTCACCTCCGAACCACAACGGCAGCAATAAGGAACACCTGTCCTCCATCGTCAGAGAGATCTCTCAGGCCAGACTGCTGTCGCTGAGGAAGAGGAGGAGCGGACAGAGCTTGACCCTAGACGCAGCTGACAATGGTAATGCAGAAAAACCAGTAGACCGGCTTGAATGGAATTACATTTACAGTATGGGGACCTGTTAATTTCAAAGCAGCCTGAGGATGATGGGATGGGTTTGGCCTTGGAGCTCAGCAGGAGTGTTGGTTCAGTAAATTTAACAGATGGAGGAAGCAGATCTCTGCTATAAATGGTCAAGTGAAGTCACTTTTATGTTTTTAGGACATTTAAAACACAAGTACCCAACAAGTTTAAATATTGAGCTTAAGGTCCTGCAGTATTAATTGTTATGTAAATTTCCACACTATTTTAAATTAGCTGAGTCTCTTATGCTTGCTTCATGTTTTATTGGAAATAGAACGAGTTTTTTTAAAATTCAAGTTTATCTTTTCATGTCTCAGAACCCTCACAGGCTATTGCGGCCGCAGCTCCCTCGTGTGCTTCTAGCCTTTATCGCTTTTTGTATTCATCTATATGGACCATAAATATAATCATAAAATGACTGAATGTGCTTGTGCAAGATATAGACACTTTTCACGACAGCGTCACGTATCATACAGTATTTAGCACCGTTCCATGTCTGTATGTCTGGATTGTCTTATCCCATAAATAAGTCACAAACAGAGCTCATACACTGTGGACACTATAAGATTCCAGTATACAGGTATATGATGTAATGCATTGTCTTTAAAAATCTTATGTAACCTGCTAGATACCTAAACGCCCACATAGTGGCGCTGTTGCTCTACAGAACGTATAGTGGGGGAATATTGAAAGTAGGTCTGGCATGATGACATTAACCATTATTACAAGAAACACATTACATCATCTTCTGGGCTCGTGATTCGTGTATCACAATGTCCTGCAGGAACTTTACTTTTGTGCTCAATGGCAGCTGGGATTTGTCTCAATAATAAGAGGTTTTGTTGCTTTTGGATCCCTACAGCTGTTTTCCATGAATGTGCTAAGAAACTAAAAATATCTTTTCTTTTTTTTAAAAAAATTTTATAGCAAAAGGAATGTAGATTTTGAACCACATTACGTCAGCGTAATAGATGTTGACTCCTCTGGAGGGGAGAGTTGATAGCAGAAGCCTGGAGGAGTGTGGAGAATCAGTGTCTGTGGTCCAGGGGAGCTGGCATTTTGCATCAAAAGAGAGGATTGAGAAACGAGCAAGTGTGTGTGTGTGTGTGTGTGTGTGTAGCATTTGTATCCCATAATGTCACCCTCAAAATCCTCTGTATCAGATTGTGGGACGCGTCATTTCGCAAGCACAGAAAACCATGTCACATTATTGGTCCCCTTGGGTGACATTGACCAAAAATTAAATTAACAGACAGACAGCTCGGAAAACAAGACCAGGCATAACGTAAGATTGTCTGAATGCCTTTGAGAGGATTTTATGTCCTCGTGCACTCTTCACTGTTTGACCTATAAAATCTCTTCCACATGCCGTCACAGTAACGAGACACAGTATTTTTTGCTCACTTGTTTGGTTTCATAGCAAGACGTAGTGTTTGTGAGGCAGTCCGTCTCTGTCCGTGGTGCTGAATTTATAAGCTACAGCAGGTTTCCCCAAAAGGTAACCAAAAGCAAATCAGTGCTAAAATGCTATTTGTCCATTTAAGTTGTTAAAAAGCTTCTAGATCTCCATCAATTTATCAAAAACAAATTTGGTCTATTAGCATTTTCAGAGCGGCTAAGTTTAGCGTTGATGTTTAGCTCCTCAGTAGTAACACATTGTTCATGTCACCTTTGTACGGTGATTCACAGCAGCACAGAGGTGTTTTTTTGGCATTCTTTTCCCTTCGGGGGAAATCCTGCCCCGGCTGGGTTATGAGCTAAACACATCCCACTTCGGTGCCAAAAAGGGAACACAGCCAAAAAAGTTGGCTGACTGGCAGAGGCTGTGGAAAGAACACAGCACTGAAAGCCACACTTCAGATCTCTGATGTGCCGGAACACTGGAACAAACACAAAAGATTATTATAAAGGTGTCATGTCATTATAAATGTATTTGTGAGGGACGAAGGTGGAGGTTGGGGGGGGTGGTGGAAGAGAGATGTTCATACCGAAAGGCATTCAGGAGAGCGAGCCGATGATGGAGAGAGAAGAAAAAAAAGACAAATGAGACCGAGTGACCCTGTAACTTGAGATTCTCCCTCTGGTCTGTACTGACTCTGTTGTGACAGGGAGGTTAGATTGTGTGTGTGCGTGTGTGTGTGTGTGTGTGTGTGTCGCTATGCCAGCCCCCATTATTCACTGTCTATCAGCTGCTGGGAGCCAGACTGAGGATAACTCCAGCAGTTTCTGTCTGGTGTATTGTAAAGCTCCTAACTTTTCTGCTTCATTAGAGTGAACACAGCGGTGAGTGACAGCGAAGGCGAGGGGGGAGGAGGTGCGACAAGTCATGCAGCAAAGGTCATTGAATGAATTTGAACTTACTATAACAAAGACGTCTGGCTTAAAAGACTTAACCAACAAGACACATAGCCTGTCGTACGCTTCACCCAACATAGTTCTATGTTCTGAGGTTCTTTTAACTTGGGTAAATTATTGCTCCAATTTGGCCAGTGTCAGCTTTCAAAAAACACGTTCAGTTTGTATAGAAGCAATTAGCAGTTGTTGCTCACCTCGAAATAGAAATAAATGTTCCCTTTCTTGAAGTGCCTTTTGTGACCGGTTCGGTTAATGGCTCCCTCGAGAAGAGAGGGAAAACGAAGCAAAAGCAGCAGGAGTGAGGGAAAAAGGCAAAAAAAAAAGGAGGAAGAGAAGAGGAGACAGGCGATGGGAGACAGGATGTAAAGAGTAGGGAACATAAAGGTTAAAGAAGAGGGAATAAAAGGTCGACATGATGAAGGGAGAAGAACATGATGCGGGAAGAAAGAGGGAATATACAGCAGGTGGAATCAAATGGCGAAATATATTGAATAGCCTGAGATGATTCTGCCTGAGCGCTGGATGGAGGGGGGAGAAAGAAAAAAAAAAACAAAAAGCACAGACAGATATTGAAGGCTGGAGGGATGGGTGGGGTTTGGATAATTGCCTTTCATTTGGATAATCTCTCCATTTAGAGTCATCAAAGCAGATTTTTACTTGCCAGTGCCCTTTGCTGGGGCCAAATTGCTGCTCAGAAAATCAACAAAAGAGCCTTGTACTTCAAGGAGGAGGGACTGACAGAAAGGTATGCACAAGAGGAGGCAGAGGAGAGAAGGTCTGCTGATTGTCTCAACTTTTCCTGCCTGCTTCCTAATAAGGCGGGGCTACTAATTAAAACCAACAAGTTATATTTATTCCTGTAAGTAGCTCGCATGTGTAGTTTTAATGCAGCATACTTTTTACTCATAAGTAGATTATTAGAGAAAAATCATAGCTCACAATGATATAAAAGACCCGTGCGCCTGCAAGCGACCCAGCAGTCATGATTAGCCGTGCTGTATGGCGCTCCCATGGTGTGCTATGGGGAATCTTTTGGGAGCTCCTTTGCACCATGAAACGCAACAAGATGGTAAAAATGGCTAAATCTAAACGCGGTTAATAGATTTTTTTACAACAGCAGGGCTTTGGGCTGCTTGCAGCGCTGTTTAGCACACCAAACCGAGACATCTCAGTGTTTCAGCCCAGATGATCTTTTGTCTAACACGTGTGAATCTAGGGATGGTGAGTTCCAGATAACCCAGGTAAATGTGTCAGTGCTTGCATTGAAACCTCAAGGGCATCCACTTTCACACACACAAGAAAAAAAAAAAAACTCACGTTCTGAATAGCCCCATGCTTCCTTTTCATGCTTCGTGTTTTGAATGGAGCAAGAGCCGGTTCAATTTATACATGAAAGATGCACATTATTTTCACTCCCATTGGTTTTCCTTGAAGGGACTGTGATTCGAAGTCAGTTACACACACACACACACACACACACACACAAAAGAAATAATAAAATCAAAATGAAAACATTCCTGGTATTATTTGCAAGTTCAATGCGAGAGAAATAAAGATTGCTGCATTTGAGTGTGTGTGTGTGTGTGTGTGTGTGTGTGTGTGTGTGTGTGTGTGTGTGTGTCTTTTGCATTTGCACCACCCATCCAGCCAGAGCAACCTTCTGCCTTCTGGTGTCATAAAATGTGATTCTGCCTCAGGGAATTAGCCCTGTTAGCATATGTATCTATAACGCCTGTCAGAGTGAAATAGGGTTCAAAAACAGCGTCGGGAGGCAGAAGACGTGTACACAAAGAGACTGTGTGTCTTAAATCGTGTGCCCATGTCAAAAAAAGAGAGGCTAAGCAGCGAGGGATGAGAGATGCAACACTTGAAGGCAGATTTTTTTTTTGACTTGCAAAGTTCTTAGAAAGTGTGACTTGTGCGTTTAAAGTATTCGTGTGTTATGTCACATTTCAGACAACATCCTTGTCTCTCCTTCCCCGCATTCTCCGCTTCCTTCCTTTCATCTCTCCCATTTTCACTGAAGAAAAAAAAGGTTCTTCGTGACCCTTTGATGCAGGATTACTGGATTAAAGAGCAGGGTAGCCGCGCTAATCTGCCACATTAATCTGTTAACAAGTGTTTCAGCTGTGACATACAACAGCGCCGGCTGTGACACGCAAAGTATAGGGTTAGGCTAATGTGTGACACTTTGGGTGACACAAATTTTCTTCATGTCTGTCACTTCTAATCTGGTCTGCTTTGCGCGTTATTTATTAATTTTTTTTAAGAGGTGGAGCCAAGCAGACACACATCTGAGTAGTTGCGATAGGAGCATCTGCGGAGGTTTGAATCGGCCCGAGACGTTAGAACAGCCCCGACATGCAGCCTAAATGGCACGAGTAAATAGATGGCATTTGTGGACATCTGAAGTTTACATCATGTGTGAGAGCTGAGTCCAGGAGGGCATGTGTTCAGCTGAAATGTGGCATATTTTGATCATGAAAGCATATGAATCTCATGACAATTGAAAATTTACACAATCAGTGAGAAAAGAAAGCTTCACGCAACTTGAAGACTCGCTTTTGTTTTTAATCCTTCTT